CTCCTGACAAGGTTGCCTGGGAAGTCTAAAACAAAACAAAACAAAGAATAATTCCAGTCCTTCCCTACCCGCTGCCTGCATGCTTCTCCATTCTGAAACATCTTAAAGCAGAAGTGTTTTCTTTAAACATACATTCATCTCAGCAGGGAATAGATTCCAAGGTCTTCCTCTCACCATGGGTACAAAAATCTACAGATGCTAAAGTCTCTTATATAAAATGGTGCAGTATTTGCATATAACCTGCACTCATCCTTTCAAATACTCATGTAATCATCTCTGGATTACTTATAGTACCTAATATAAGTACGATGTCAATAGTTGTTTTACTGTATGATTTAGGGAATAATGGCAAGAAAAAAATGCCTGTATGTATTCAATGCAGATGCAATTTTTTTTTTCAAATATTTTTGATTCTCTGTGATTGAATCCACAGATACAGAACCTGGGATGTGGAATCCGAAGAGGCCTAGGACAAATTGTGCTGTCAACTATGTATTTGCCAGAAAATATAGTAGCAACCAACCTTTGTAGAAGAGCTAGCGACTTCACTTAGTAGCCAATGAAAACTTGGGCACATGTGTGATGATTTGACTTATGTTAATGAAATTGCCAGGGTCTCAATTTGCATTGCTTGCCAGATGAGCTATTTTTTTCTCAAATTTATAGCTGTGGAACAATCACTCTACATTTGAAGACTCTAGAACTTTCACTAATCAAAATCTGGTTAAGCAATCCTCGGAAGCCTGTCCAATTTATTTCCCTGAAACCTTTCTGCCAGGACTACTTAAATCTAGACTGAGTAGGGCCCCTTTTCCTATGTCTATGTCACAAACTGGAGTTAAAATTGGAAACTCATGACTTACCATGATCATGCTGCTGAGGGTCTTGCCATACATTTTCTTGAATTGACTCTTGATAAGATTTAAATCAATTTCACTCCTGGAAACAATGTTCCTTATCAGGGTCCCATCGAGTGTCCCTGCTCCCTGGATGAGACAGCAGCAGTCAACCATCATTTCTCATCTTTCCTGTCCACCTCAATAGTCATGGACAAAGCTCAATCTCTTTTCACTCACTGCTCAGGCCTCTTTCCTTTTTAGAAGCCAAATTGCATTGGGTGTTTAGTTTGCCACATTAGATGCTAGACACACAAAAAATCATAGCTCCAGAAAGAATACTTCTTCCTAGAGAAGCAGCACTTCAAAATTGACTTATCTGGCCATTTCATAAACAGGATTTTCCCATGCTTTCATACCTGAGCAGTCTCATTTCACAGGAAGCTACCTGGGAATCCCATGCCTTTTCTAATTTCTGGGGCTTCAGATTTCTGGCATGGCTCTTACTTCGGGTGGTGTCAACAACCATATATCAGAGAAGGAGGGCACTGACATTATTCTTGGAGAATTAAGTTAACTCTCTACCCATTAGGTTTCAGACACCAGAAAATGTGATGGGTGGCTTGGGCATCTGTTTTTGTGACTAGGGTAGCCTTCTGGACAAAAGGCAAGTTATCACAGGTAGTTGTGAGCTATGTGTGGTAATTTTCCTATGAACTTGACTATGGAAAGGTGTCTTCATTCCTGGAATTCTTGCCTGTGACCTCTAGTAGAAAATCTGTTTTCATAGAGACCCTGTGATACAATGAAAACAAAGGGACCAGCTTGAGTTCAAGTCACAGTTCTGCCACTTAGCAACTGGGTGATCTTGAATGGGAGCTTCAGTTGTACAAATCTGGCAATTATGACACGGGTCTCCCAGAATGATAAATGTTCAGTACCTTGGACACCCAAGCATGTACCTGTTCAAATTTCCCTGTAGGAGATGTGACTTCCCTTCTCTAGACTCAGTTTTCCCTGACAACTAAAATCTTTCTGATGTACAAAAAATGAGAATAAAAGAAACCCCAGTGGTGGGTGAAGACAGTGGTGGCTCTGAGCTCCCTGGTGGTCCAGTTGGTGCCACATATGACTGATTGTAAGGGAGTCAGTAGACCCAATGGTTACCTTCATGGCATAGTGGAGTCTCTCTGCAAAGTAGCTGTGTAGGTTTCGGGTGCATTTCACTGTCAAACAGAAAAGCTCTGTTAGCATCTCAAAGTTGTAGGCCGTACTGCACACGCCTTCATTTTAATTATGCTTTGCCTCAGGTCTTAAAGGTTAGCCTTGCAAGTCTTGCACATTTCTTTGTGCCCTACCTAATTAATATCCTCTGACAGGGAATATTGGAGGTGTGCAGGGCCCCACTGTGGTGGACACTTCCTGTTCATTTCTCCTTCAAGACTGACTCACTTTCATGTCACAGATGACTCAGGCGTGTCAAGCAACAAAGTCACACTGCATCATTAAATAGGCAGGGATTAAATACGTGCCTAAATCCCTCAAAGCTTTGTGCCAGGGGGTGAGGCTAGGAAGGGCGATTGGGGCACTAGGCATAGCTCCAAAGGCCCAGAGCAGACAGGCAAAAGGGGGAAGTGAAATTCATGTGGCATCCACAGAGCTAGATAAGCCAAGGGCACCTTAGACCCAGACTGTCCCTGGGCTCTCACCCAGGCATAGCACCATCAAGAATCTAGCCACTCAGCTCTACAGAGGCATCACAGCATGGTGGCCATGACCTTAGAGAGCTCTATTGGCAGGACCCCTGCATTTTTAATTCCCATGTGATGAGTGGGGCTCAGCCCAGTAGGACTAAGGCACCAGGGGCACCTGGTTGAGAGAGCATACCCCTTCTTTGCAGCCAGGACTGCCGAAGAAGTGTGGGCTTTGAGGAATGTAGGCACATGTTTAAACCCTACCTGACTATATTGCTAACATCCCTGACTCATCTGTGATGTGAAAGTGAGTGAGGCTTTTAGGAGAAATGAATGGCCTATGTTGGAGCATCTAGGTACACCCACTACCCCAATCTCAGCAACACTGTCAGCCCTTAAGTCCTTTATCACCAGGTTTATTGCTGGCTGGGGAGTCTCAGTAAACATTTACCAGAGAGACAGGGATGAGTAAGGAGCACTCTGGCTGCTGGGAGGCAACCTAGTGTGGAGATGAGTGCCCTAGCCCAGGAGCCCTGACCTCAGCTCCATTGTGTGAGGTGAAGAGGAGAGGGCCCTCTGCCTTGGCCACAGCTCTCGACTCTGCAATGACTTTCTATTGTGATCTCAGCTCTGGATCTTAAAATGGGCTCTGGAATGGGTCCTGCTAAGTGGACCTGACTTCCTGCTGTGGAGAAGGTTCTCAACACTCCTGGTGTTGGACTACCAACCCTTTGTTGGCAAATCACACGCCATCATTTCTGCAACTGGCAACTAAGACAGGGGCCTGGGCCCCTGGTTCAGGTCCAGAAGGGTAGATTTGTTCAAGGCCTCACAGCCAGAATCAGAATTCTCCCTGTGCATGTGTGTGTACATACACAAACACAAACACAATCTCTCAAACACACTGTCACACAACTGCACACACTCATGCATATACTCACATTCTTGCATATACATGCACACATCCACACACCCACACATTATCTTTCAAACACATCCCCACAGAAATGCACATACTCGTGCACACATTCTCACCCACAACTTAAGCAAATCCACACACATTTACATTTACACCCACATAATCACACTCTTGCTTACACACGTATGTACACCCTCATATGGTACTGGATGTCATATAGACAGCACTGAGAATATTCCTCGGCAGGACAGACACACTGAGACTCTAGGGGTGGGACAATCCCAGGGTACAGGCTAGGAGCATGAAGGATGTGGAGAGGACTCATGAAGGTGAATATGGGGTCCTATTTATTGTTTTTGCCTCCCTGGGCCCTTTGCCCTTTGCCCTTTGGTGTTGTCTCACAGCTGAGCCTGTGGACCTATGTGCATCTGAGCACTGTGCCCCAGTTCTTACCCACAGTGAGCATGGCCTCCTCCAATGAGCCATGGGTCTCGCTCTTGATGCTGTCCTCAATGCTCTTGTTGGCGATTTTCTCATACTCTTCAAAAACTATGGAGAGAGGGCTCCATTTAAGGAACTCACAGATTATAGACTATACATCAAAGAGCCCACTCATCTCCCTCTGGGTTGCCAGGGAATCCAAGGCTCTGTTGCTCTCCCCGCAACTTGACAAAGCTGTACACTGGATGTGAACCACAGAAGGAGAGGCCCTGAAGCCAGGGCCAGGGCAGCTCCTATGCCTGGCGTTGCCTCCCTCTACCCCCATACCTCTCATTAGGTGAGTGGCACTGCGTGTGCACAAGATGGTGATGAATTTCATCTCATCAGTCCCATGAATCTTCTCTCCTGCTTCATACAGATCCTAGCATTTGGACACCCAGAACAAGCCCGCAAAGAAGAAAACAGAGTTAAGGGCAGAAACTCAGAGCCCCAGAGCTGGGGCCGATGGTCAGACCCTGTTCACTTGGCAAGGCCACCATCTTTACATGAAAGGGAGTTCACTATACTGTCCTTCTTTTATCCCAATAGCTCTGGCTTAAAATCTTTCTTCCACACTAGGACTGAAGGTACTTTAGGAAATGCAAATCCTTCCCCTGCCACCGGGCAGCACTGAGCACTGAGTGCCCCACTGGTAGGCAGACACAGGGAGACAAGGATTATGAGCTTGTCCTGGTAGGACAGAGCTTCAGCCCACTCCCAGTAATACAAATTACTCTTCTTTCTTCTGTCTCCCCAGCATCTCTACTTTCCTCCTCAGACACCAGAGGGCAGAAGTGAGCTGGGCAGGTCCCAAGCTATGTCAAATAATGCTCCATGGGAAAATGTGCCAGGTGTGGTACTCAAGTAAGCTCTCCAAGTCCAGATGGTAGGGGACAGACAGCCTCACCTGTGCATCTTGAAGAGCCAGTCCTGGGTCCACAAAGCCACTCACATCATCCCTGCTCCCCTAGGAACACAGAGGAGAGCTCTGTAAGGCAGGATGGCAACCAGTACAGCTGGATCTGAAGGGACAATGGGGATTAAAGGACAGGAAGGACTCTGCAGCTTTTTGGCCATGGATATTCAGAAAGCCAATTATTCTCTCCAAACTCTGAATTTCTCATTTGTATAACAGGAGAAGAATCACTGCCTTGTAGGGTTGGGCATTCAGAGAGCTAGGCAAAGAGCCTGGCATGGGACCTATATGAAGGATCTGATTATGACAGGGTGCTCACCTCTCATTTTCAAGGTGCCTTCACCTGGATGAGTCAGGAGGGGCACAGAGGCTCTGTAGTCAGGCCCCTCCACCATGCAGAGATGCATCTAGTGTACACAGCATCTAGGTTGTCCCATGGCCTTGCCCAGACCACAGTGGCTCTACTTGAGGGCTGCTCCCTGGGGTGAGCTGTGGGGATCCCTAAGCCATGGGGACCCAAGAACCTGCTGATACCTGCAGGAGGCACACCAGGATCCGTTCCAGGTAGCCGCTCGTGTCTCCTTGGATGTCTTCCTCTAGACTGGATCCATAGTCTGCAGGGAAATACAACAAGAAGGCATGAACCCAGGGTCCACTCAAGGCCTGATTTCCTCCTTCCAGCCCTGTTTCCCACACCTCTCCCCATTAAAGTCTTCTGGGAAGAATGAGTTCTTGGCATAGGACCTGAATATAATGTCCAAGTGGCAGAGTCACCTGTGTGT